AGATATGCTAAATGCTTTTGGCAGATTGGCTACAGAGAAGCCTACGCTAATTGGACATTTGTATCAAGGTAGAGAAAGCATGGATATGTCAGGAGTGGCTGGTGTGGTAATGGGAGGAGTTGGACAAGTTGATTCTCCCGGGCTTAGTATTCTAAATTCTGTAATGAAAATCCAATGGTATGTAAATCATTATTTTTTCAATTTAAAAAGATGGCTACTATTGTTGCTTATTCTTTATATACATATTGTATAAAGTATTGATCAATTAGATAAAGCTGACCCACCACAAATACCGGAAACATATCTTTATTATCTTGCTTTTGTATGCCTTAATTCTATTGCTGATGGACTACATAATTTTGTCTCGTCAATTTTTGCCGACGCTATACAAAAACAGCAGCATGAATCGCAGCAAATTTCCACTACACAGCAGCAATCGATATTTGGAAATACCACACTACAACAGCTCAAATCACATCCAGAATATGAAGAAGTTTTGCTCGTTGCAGACATGGCAAATACTGCATGGCCTGGATTACTTGCGGCACAATCATTTTTCCTTACAGCGAATATTGACGAAGAGCTGTTTCAAGGTGTTTTACGCGCGTATCAAAACTTTACCATCGTATGTGGTGTGCTCCGGCTTTCCACGCCATGCGATGCCTTTTTGACGAGCCTATGCAAAGGTGCCGTTCCTCCTAGTGTAATCGCTGCATATGTGGCAGAAAGCAAAGCAGCTCATAATAGTGGGAGTGCAACTGGTTCCAGTTATGATGGTACGGTAATGGTCACATTATCTGATAGAAATTTATCTTGTCTCAAAATATTATTGAATATTGCACAGTATCTTGGTGGTGTCTTGGATGATTCTTGGTATTTGGTGCTGGAAACGTTACAATTAGCAGACTTTATAATATTTCCTAAGCATGCCAGAGGCGGATCTAGAGGTAACCGTAAAGTTAATACGCAACATTCCGCGTCTGTTTCAACATCATCTTTGTCTTCTCCACAAACTGCCGGCAGTAGTTCATCATCACTCGCTCAATCTGCGTCAACTGCTCCAGTAAAAAGACCTTATTCAGCGATTATGAATTTTTCCATTCAAACTCCTGTACAGTCTTCTCAAACTGGGTCATCTGCGGCTAATTCAGTCCCTCAACAAACGGCTATGGAAAATGATTTAAATATCTTGCTGATACAAATAAAAAAATTATTTGACAACTGCAAACTTCTTGATGATTCTGCTATACAATTTTTCACTAGAGCATTATGCAAGTTAAATGCTTACACCTATGGCATTCCTTTAGCTAGTGAACTTTCCGAAAATGGTCATGGAGCAACGTTGGTTGAAGGTAAAACGCCAAAATCTTCCCCATTAAGTAATCTACGCGGAAATGTAAGTATAGCAGCAACTTTTTGATTTATTTGCGGGTTATATTTGTATTGAAATTTTATTTTAAATATAGAAAACGGATGAGAAGTCCTTTGCTATTGAAAAGTTGCGTTCCGTTGCACTCTCAAATATACATCGCCTTATCGCACGAGAACCTACACTTATTTGGGATCTAATTGTTTCTAATTTAATAACAACTGCAAATTATATCTCGACTCCGCAGCAAGTTCGTATGCAAGCTTGTGAAGCCTTGTCAGATATTATTATTACATCTATGAGTTACACAAGTTCAGCGCAGATAGGAAATGATGAACGTATTCAAATGCAATTGCTTACTTCATTGAGTCATTTAGTGAATGATCCAGAAAGAGCATCTAGGAGTTATAGTAAAGGATTTTATGTAGAAGTTCAAAAAATGGGATTGGAAACCCTAAACAAATTATTACAAACATCTGGACATTCGTTTGCGTTCGGGTGGGGTATGATTTTTGATATGATAAAAAGTGTATGCGCAATAAATGTTTCCGGTGAAATAGGAGATGATGAAGGTGATACTGTAAGTGTGGAAAGTGTTGGTATAATTGATGGATCATTTGGTGTATCCAACTCTAAATCTTCTGGATTGGTTCGTGTAGCATTTCCCTCTTTACAATTAATATGCACGGATTTCTTATCATTATTATCTCCTGAATGGTTAAAACAATGCATTAATACGCTGGGAGCATATGGCCTGCAAATGGACGATTTGAATATTAGTTTATCAGCCATTGGGCTTTTGTGGAATGTCTCTGATTTTATACAAACTAAACGTGCGGATCTTGAAAATGCTTCTAAGAAGCACAACGAAGATGACGAAGATGTCAATGCCATAACAAAAAATGCTGTTATTGAGCAAGAGATCGAACGAATCATCAAAGGTGATTTGACATCTCATACTATGAATGCACTTTGGATGTTATTATTGATACAACTTTCGAGAATCTGTTCTGATTCTCGCCCAGAAGTCCGTAATGGAGCCAATCAAACTTTATTCCGCACCATTGACATGAATGGTTCGGTGCTAGACATTCAAACTTGGCATACGTGTATTTGGCAGGTATTGTTTCCACTACTGGATTCGGTCAAACTTGTTTCAGAAAAAGTTGTTAAGGCTATGCAACAACAACAACAACAAAGCCCGAATTCTGAAAAATCTACAGCACAAAAGGAATTGAATAGTTTTATGGTTCATCACTCGAGGAATACCGTTGACAAGCAATGGGATGAAACTAAGGTATTGGTTCTGACTGGAATGTCCGGAATATTTAAAAACTTTGTACCAATATTGGTAGATTTAGATGATTTTAAACAAGTGTGGGGATTGTTTCTTTCACATTTGCAAGACTATTGTTTACATTCTAGTAATGAAGTTGCGATTGCTGCCGTTAAATCTTATCACACAATTATTCAATTTCCTAAAGTTGAGTCTCATACTGATCAATTAAAGAAGAGGATTTTACCACACTGGCAAACAGCATGGATTGTTTGGGAAACAATAGGTTTGGGCATTATAACGATGTCAGACAGAAGAACTCATAATGTTGATTTGGATAATGGAAGTTTATCATTGTCTGAAACGTTAGAATCACCTATCTCATCGCAGTTTACCCAAGATACTCTCACTGCCTATGTTAGTGCTTTTGGAGATCTTTATAATGTTATTAATCTTGATTTTGGGATCGACGAAATTAAAAGATTTTTGAAGGTCATTTATGGAGTATTAACCTATCCGAATAGTCCGTCGTATAGACCAGATTATGATTATCTCACTCCTTTACAAGAAGCTGTATTGAATGTTGTAGGACAAATTGACTTAAATGTATCGGGCGCTCCCGCAATAGTTTTAAGTGATTTTGCAGATTATATTACTTTGGCTTTCACAAATCAATATCAGATTGAAGAAGCACCTGAAATTCCAAAGAAAAAGAAAGAACAGATATCCACAAAGGGTGCTAAAGTGTCAAATAAAGAAAGCGTATCATCTAAAAAATCCCCAACAGTTACCTATATTGTTTTTTCAAAGACTGCTATGCGTACAGTAAATGATTTGTTTAAAAAGTTTGTGAAAGATCAAGGCATTTACGCGGAAGGTGTTTTTAAGAAAATAATTTGGGTAAGTTGTTTAATTTATATGATATATTTGTTATTTTTACTAAAACTAATAATAATTTTTGTTTTCAAATATTGTAGGCATACGGTATACCTATGAAAATGAAATATGACTGTCCACCATCTGGAAAGCACGTAAACGACATCGAACTTTGGAAAATCGCTGCTAACGCGTTTTTAGATGTTGTAAAAGAAGGTTTGATTGCATTGGAAAGTTTTGGCGAAGGTATTTACTTATTATTCTTTTATTACATAATTACAAGATTGTTAACACACCTTCTTTACAGCCATTTCAGATGAATGCTTCGTAGATGTATGGAAACAATTATCTAGCGTTCTTCATGGCGCGCTAATAACTGTCGGGTATTCTAGATTCTTAAAATAACACAACTTTTGGCATATCTATGTGATTTGAGATTAATTTAGTTAACGTTATTGTTAGAAAACCTCCTCCTACTATAAATTTAGAGCAGCAAGACACAAATGAGGCATTCGATATGAAATTTCTCTTTAACCTTCAGACAGATGTGATAATTCATATGGGTCGTCCTCGTGTACCACAAACTCTTATACGTGAGATTGTTGAAACACTGCGAGAGGGATCACAATTATATTCCACTGATATTGAAAGACAAGAAGCAGCCAACGGACATCTAAATAAAATTTCGACAACGTCCAACAT